CCCCCCCCCCCCCCCCCCCCCCGTACTCCTGCAAAGGAATCTTCCACTCTCCACTCACACACCTTTAACCCTCCCCAAAATGCTTTGCAATGATTGCAACAGCGTTAGCAATATGCAGTGCTGATCTACCTTCCCAGGGGACTCCCTAAGGGGAGGGGGCCATTGGGTTGTGACATTGTCCACTTTGTTTTGCAGTATCTTATGCCCAGTACGGAAGGCTTAATGGTGGGATATTTTAACCCTTGTACCCTGAAGCCCAGGAGGAAAAGATTCTTATTCTTTGACGAATAGTAATAAGATTCCTGGAGGGGGATCAAATTTCTCTCTCTGATTAAATCTATGCTTAGGAACATGGCAAACTGGGAGGCTTCTATTTTAAGCTAAAGTCCCAAAGAGATACAATGAGTTTCTGAGAAATGAAGTGGGAGACCTTTTAATCTTGGGCATAATATCAGCAGAAAACTTAGCAACCTTGTTAAAGTCTAAAATCGATTTAAATTGTAAACAAAATAAGAAAAAGGCTGCAGAACATGGACAAGGTATCTGAACAGCTGTGTGTGTGTGTGTGTTGCGCCTCACAGGAGCTACTATTTGTCTAGCATAATTAGTTTACATTTTTTTGAAAGGGCCAAATTCTGCCCTGCCTTGAAGTCAGTGGGGCTTTATGGTTTGTCAGGACATAATTTGGCCTAAATGCAGAATTAGAATATCTTTCTTATGACTGAAAAAATGTGTTCATATGCACAATATTTTATTTTCAGGATGCGTATCCCGTCGGCCTGCACTTCAGCCAGATTAATTATGCTGAGGGGTGTTTGTGAAAGTGAGGGGATAAAGCTAGGCATATTATGGCCAGCTGTTGTCCAACCTTTCCTGCATTGCTCTGCCACTGCGGTCCTGGTCGAGGCGCACCACCCTCTCTCCCAAGGCCAGGGCTTCTGCAGAGCAGAGCCTGCAGTGGTTTTGACACCAATAAACACACTGGCCAAAATTTTCTAACTAACTAATAGGTTTTGGGTGGCCAATGTGAGACAACTTAAAGGAACTGTTTTAGAAGGTGGGTGCTCTGCACTTCTGGAAAATCTCAAGCCCTTTCAAGGTGTCTCAAGATGGGCATCCAAAAATAACTAGTCACTTTTTTAAAATCTTGGCCAGTCACTGATGTGTGAGTGACATTATCTGAGGTTTGAGCCTGTCTCTGTAGATGTGAAAAATGAGTCTGCGTTAGAGAATGTCCCATGAAGCTTTTCCAACAGTTTTGTTTGCTGCCAGTATTCTACCCTTGCAGATGGCTAATGCATTATGGCCTAAGGCAGTGAATGAAGTTAAGACAAATAAACCTGAAGAGTATATTGACTAATTGATTCTTCTGAATTATTGACCTTCCGTGCTGAATGACACCCTAATACAGATGCACACCCTAGAATCCACTGACAAATGTTATCTTTCTAGGTTTATCCTGGGCAGAGATTTGGGCCTGGGTCTAGAGGGAAATAGTGGAGATAAAATGAAGAAGAGTGCTTTGATCCAAATTAGTTTTAGGGTGGTGGTCAAATTTAAAGCCGAATCAGGGTTTAGATTTGCTGGGTCCAAAGTTTCATAGGATTAGTTGCTGTTGTGAGATTCCTGCCATTGTGAGATGCAGTGTCACAGGAATGGCTTTCTCAAGCCATTCTGATTTGGAACCAAAATCGTAACTGAGAGAAATCTGGATCTGGCAATTGGGATCTGATTCTTTTCACCCTCCAGAAATTTAAAGAGGTTTGAGGGTCTGGTTTCAGCACGTCTCTAGAAAATAACTTCCAGAGCAAAAGACAAACCTGTTATGCTCATCAAATGTAGTGGGTTTATAATCCTTTTAAAATAGATATGTTCAAGCAATGGGGTTGCTTATGTCCCGTCCCATGAGAATGCCTTTGGAAAAGACAGGGATTCAGTTACCCTCCCCAAAAAAGCTGTGTGTGTGGTTGTGTGTGTGTGTGGTTGTGGTGGGGGGGGGGGGGTTGTAGACACATGACCTAAAATAAGACCTGTTAACCATCTGCATGGAGCTGACTCCATATTCCCTATTGGTGAGAGTGACTCTCACAGGAAATCTAGTCAGAAATAAACCTTCATAAAACCGGCCCTGGGAACCTGCCGCTCTTTCCTGTGGCGCTCGGTGTTGGAAGTAATTCAGCTCCAGACTTTATTTTTTCTTTGTGGATTTTGTTAACGTTTCTCCCCACGTCCAGGTTATTTTCCCTCATTGCCTTGCTCCAGAGAGGGCGGGTGCCCGCTCCCCTGCCCTCCCCAGAGGCAGAATTTTCAGGAGTGTTTCTGAGTTTTTGCCAGACCAGTTCTTCTATGGCAGCTCTCTCTCACTTTCACCCACCCTTTGAGGATCTTTGTTTCACCACTAGGCAGGAAACTGCCTCTCTAACATGACCATTCTCTGCCCCCTTCTCCTCTGCCCAGGGCACAGCCACATTAAATTGAGCTCTGTCTGTCTAGAGTCAGTCAGCACTGCTGTCTGATCATCCAGTGGGGTATAAATCTGCCAGTCATCTGCTTGGGATGGGGAGATCCTACTCTTTTTGGGGTAGAAAGTGGTGGTGGGCTGTTTTTTTATTGGGGGGAGACTGTACTGCTTGATCAGTCTCTTCTCTTGATTTTTGGAGACTGCCTGCTGTAAACTGTGGGCAGCTTCTAATTCATACCAGCCTGTCTTCATGGCATTGTCATTGCACAGGATGTGGTCACAAATTTTGCCACTCAGTGCTGCACCAAAGCCGAGCCCGACTTCCCATTTCAGTTATAAGCCCCTCACAGCTTGAACCATGATCATAAAGCTTACTGTCGTCCTAGTGCTGCACAAACCCTAACCAGCCCTTAAAAGACCCTGGGTATGTTATTTTTTCATACATAGGGAAACTAAGGCTATGTCTACACTAGTGAGCCTACAGCGGCACAGCTGTATTGAAGCAGCGGCGCGGCTGGAAGATCGCTCGTGTAGCTGCTCTGTGCCGACGGGAGAGAGCTCTCCCAGCGACACAATAAAACCACCTCCACGAGTGGCAGTAGCTGAGTCAGGGGGAGAAGGTCGGTCTCTGACATAGCACTGTGCACGCTGCCGCTTAACCCAGCAACACTTAGGTTGCTCGGGGAGGTGTACTATTTGCACCCCTGAGCGACACAAGTTTTGCCGACATAAGTCCTAGGGTAGACATAGCCTAAGACTCTGATGCTAAGTGATTGCCCAAGCCCCCCAAAGAGTTAGCAACAGCCGTTATTAGATCTCAGAAGTTCCTGGCTCCAGCTGCATGTTTAGACTGCTAGGCTATGCTGTCTCACTGGAACTTGATACTAGAACAGCGTGAGACTGAGCCCCTCCTCTGATGGGGTGAACAGATGGGGAAAGCAGAAGATTCCAGAAGACTTCAGCTTTGTGTGTCATAATGAAGGCAAGACAGTAGCAGTATGTGGTGTAAGCCTACATTGCTCTTATGTTCGGTTGCCTCCATAATAATCTGTAACATCATAACAAAATAGGGTTTAAAGTAGTCTGCTGCATATGTCATGTGGCTTTGAGGTAATCCTTTTACTTCTCAGAGGATGCTCAAAGTGAGTCTGAATAATGGCAGGTTCTTCTTTCCTTTTCAAAGACACGATGCCTTCAGTTCCTCCAGAAGCAGAGATGGACAACGGTTCCTGCCCTCACTTCTCTGCTAAATGTGTGCTGAATGGAGGCCTGGAGAAGGAGTCCGGTAACATCAGTGAGGAGAGAAAGTGGATCCGACCTGACACCCCTAGCAAATGTACCTGGGAGCCAGGAAAACTCCCCTCTGAATCCCCTCATTATCACCCCACTTCGTAAGTGATACCTTTCTTTCCTTGTTGCCTTTCAGTGTTAACCAAGACTTTGTCCCCTCAGAGCACTGCACGGGTTTAACTAAAGGTGTGAATTTTTTTAGCTGTATTAGTTAAATTGGCATGATTTTGCATATGGACACTTTTGTATCTGATACCTGTAATTTACATTTGCAAGCTCAATTAATATGTTTAAACCTAGCTTATGTTTTATAAAAGAGGCAAACTCCCATTGACTTTAATGGGATCAAGAAGACCTCTTTTGTGTTTGACAGTTCTTTTTGCTTTCTCATATTTACACATTCACTTTCATCTTCCCTAAATGGTGCTATTTAAACCTCCCTCCCAAAAAATGCAGGCAAGAAATGAATAAATTCACCAGGAATTTGGTCACACCTGCCTGTAATTGCAGCATTAATCTGTGCTCAGCATTTCATAGATTCATACAGCCAGAAAGGAACATTAGATCATCGAGTTCAGTGGTTTTCAAACTTTTTTCATTTACGGACCCCTAAAAAAACTTCAAATGGAGGTGCACAGCCCTTTTGAAATCTTTGACATAGTCTGCGGTCCCAAGGTTGAAAAAACACTGTTCTATGGTAACAATAACCTTTCGCAGACCCATTAAACATAGTCTGCAGACCTCTAGGGGTCCATGGATGACTGGTTGAAAATCACTGATCTAGTCTGACTATTTCCAGTCTGCTTTTGTTGACAAACCATGGTTTGGAGCAGTCATGGCATTGATGGAGATTATATGTGCATGCACATATAGAAATGACTGACGCATTAATTTTTCCTGGAAGGGCTGAAATTTATGTTAACCTACTTCAGATGGTGAGAGCATAGCAGGCTGTGGATCGCAGCTTTGTAGTTCTTGCCTCTGACCTGGGAATCATTCTTTATCTCCCTCCCCCTTTATATCTCTCCAGTGAATATGCTTTTTATTGTAGCCCATATCTGTTAGAAGGAGAAAACGTCTGAAATCTTATAAATTCCCTCCCTGCTCCCCCTCATTACTAATTTGAGATGCAGAGAACTCCTTTTCACCTCTTTCCTTAAAATTAACAATACCCCTTCCAAGCTAAACAGCCTGTTCTTGATATTTAATAAATAAGATTTCCAACTCTTCTAAACAAAGAACATTGTTAGCAAGGTACAAACATTCCCTTCCCATTAACCTTTTGCTTAAAGAAGCTGATGTGAAGCTGCATAAGCCAGAGGGCTTGTCTACACTGACAAGTTTCTTCGCAGTAAAGCAGCTTTTTGTGCTCAAACTGCAGACGTGTACCCACTGCCAAGCCACTTTGTGCACAGAAACTCCTCAGTTCCAGCACGGCAAAAAAACCACCTCGTTGAGAGTCGTAAGGCTATTTGCACAGAGGCTCCAGCACTCTATTGCCAGTGTAGATGCTAAATTGCTTTCTGTGCTGTAATTGGCCTCTGGAGCTGTCCCATAATGCCTCAAGCGGGCTGCCCTGGAGACAGGTGCCCCTCCCCTTTCAAAGCACCGTTTCTGACAGCCCTTGCGTGCTGTGCTGATCTGCTCCGGGACACAAAGTAAACCAATAATGTGGAATGCTCGTGCTGTTGAACACAGAGGGCTTGGCTACACTTGCGAGTTAGAGCACATTAAAGCAGCCCCGGGCGCTCTAGCTCACTACCCATCCACACTGGCAAGGCACGTAGAGAGCTCTGACTCCAGGGCTAGAGCGCTCCTGGTACTCCACCTCAGTGAGAAGATTAACACTTGGTGCGCATTGGCTGAAATGCCTGGGCGTCAGTGTGAATGAGTGTTGCATCACTGCGCTCTGATCAGCCTCCAGAAATGTCCCATAATCCCCTTAAGTCAAGTGGCCACTCTTGTCGTTGTTTTGGAATCACTGCAGGAATGCGGATATGCCCTTTGAAAGCTCTGTTTCTGACAGCCGGCATGCTTATCTGCTCTGAGACAAAACAACCATTACAGTAACTCCTCACTTAATGTTGTAGTTATGTTCCTGAAAAATGCGACTTTAAGTGAAATGATGTTAAGCAAATCCAATTTCCCCATAAGAATTAATGTAAATGGGGGGTTAGGTTCCAGGGAATTTTTTTCACCAGACAAAAGACTATATTATATACACCCATCTACCCCAATATAATGCTGTCCTCGGGAGCCAACAAATGTTACTGCCTTATAGCTGAAACCGCATTATATCAAACTTGCTTTGATCCGCCGGAGCCCCCCAAAAACCCACTCTCCCCACACATACACACAACACACTCCGTCACACTCCACCCCACCCCCCTCATTTGAAAAGCAGGTTGCAGCCAATTGCATGCTGGGATAGCTCCCACAATGCACTTCTCTCTGTGACCGTTGCAAGAGCTGCTAATGTGGCCATGCCAGTGCGCTTGCAGCTCAGTGTGGACAGACTGCAGCGCTTTCCCTACTGTGCTCTACGAAGGCTGGTTTAACTCAAAGCGCTCTACATCTGCAAGTGTAGCCATGCCCAGAGGCAGGTGTGTGTGGGGGTGTGTGTGTGTGTGAGATTTGATGTGCAGAGAGCCTAGGGAGGGAGCCAGGGCTGATGGGGGTTTCCTCCTCTCCCTGCCTCAGGACTGGTTGCTTCCTGCCGCTGTCTGACCAAGACAGCGTGTTGACACACTCTGTCCCCCAAAACACACTGTCTTCCCCCCCCCCTCCATATACACACACACTCCCGGTCACACACTCTGCCCCCCCACACCACTTCAGTTGAAAAGCAGCTGGCAATGTAGTAGGATGCCAATGGAACAATGGGATTGGGAAGCCTGCATCATGTGACGCTGTGCCTGCCCCATGAGGCATTGCAAACCATTCCCAAAGCACCCTGCAGCCAGTTGCACAATGGGATAGCTACCACAATGCACTTCTGTCTTTGTCACTGCAAGAGTTGCTAATGTGGATGCGCTCCAGTGTCACAAGGAGCACAGTGTGGACACGCAACAGCAATTTAATTCCAGTGTTTTAATAAAAGTGGTATAATTTGTGGCGCAGAAACTTGCCAGTGTAGACGTACCCAGAGTTAACTCATGCTAAGTAACCTATTAAGCAGTTGCCCTGATCAGTTGAATAATTGAATTAAGTGGTTGGTAATGATGACAATAAACTACATCAGCGTTTTTCAGTGTTTTCGGGTTGCGACCCAGTACTGGGTCGCGGCATGTCAGGCATTGGGTTCCTCTGGTCAGCACCACTGACCAGGACGTTAAAAGTCCCATCGGCAGTGCTACCCAGCTAAGGCAGGCTAGTTCCTACCTGTTTTGACACCGCGCCGCACTCCGGAAGCAGCCAGCAGTGGGTCTGGCTTCTAAGCAGGGGGGCCCCAGGGCTCTTCGCACTGCCCCACCCCGAGCACCGGCTCCGCACTCCAGATTGGGGGGGGGGGGTGCCTCTGCCTAGGAACCAGAGGTTCCTGCTGCTGGTTGCTTCCGGGGTGCAACACAGCCTGTGGTGCCAGGACTGGCAGGAAGCCTGCCTTTGCACCCTAGCTGTGCTGCTGACCGGGAACCACCAGAGATAAGTCCATGCCCCAGCCCTGAGCCCCCCCAAACCTTGAACCCCAAACCCCTCATCCCTGGCCCCACTCCAGAGCCTGCACCTCCAGTCCAGAGCCCTGACCCCTTCCCACACCCCTGCCCCAGCCCTGAGCCTTCCCAAACCTGGAGCCCTTCCTGCACCCCAAACTCCTCATCCCCAGTCCCAGCCCAGAGCCCTGCCCCCCTGCCCCAGGCCAGAGCCCCTTCCCACACCCTGAACCCCTCATCCCCGGTCTCACTGCAGAACCCTCACCCCCGTACCCCAACCCTCTGTCCCAGCCTTGAGCCCCTCCTACACCCCAAACTCCTCATACCCAGCTTCAACTAGGTCCCCAGGAAAAAAGTTTGAAAACCACTGAACTACATGATGCGTGAGGTAAATGCATGTACCTTGTGCTATCCACATCATTTCACTGATGTCTGATTACTCCAAAAGTTTTGGATCAGGGTTTCGCTGTCTTAAAAAGTCCTTTCTGTTGTGAACTTCTGTATGTTTAAAAAGAACATCCAAAATAAGCATGTGACCTCCCAGTGTTACTGCCAAGAACTGATTGATGTGTCTTTGCGTGTGTGCATTAGGTCAAAGTCTCCAAACATCCTGCCAAACATTCTGAAGAAAATTGGTGATACTCCTCTGGTACAAATCAACAAGATCGGAAAGTTCTTTGGACTCAAGTGTGAACTCTGTGAGTACCTGCTGCAGACAGAAGTTAGAGATGTATCTTCAGGTGTTGTGCTAGAGGTGTAGCTTCAGAAATCTGGATCGCCCTATTTAACTGTGTTCATGAGAGCTGGTTGGGAAATGCTTTTTGTTTCTGTGAAGAGGTTGACAAAAATGAATGTTTTTCAGTTGAAAAAAGAAAAAAAGAAAATTCTTCAGTTTTTGGGTTTCTGTGTTTTGATTACCTCTACCTCCTCTTCCGCCCGCGCTCGTGCGCATAAACAAACAAAACAAAAAGCAAACCACACATGCTACACATCAAAAATGGACATTTTCCGATGACATTTCCCTTTTGATTAAAAAGCCATTTTTGGTCAAAAAAGTTTCAAATTAGACTTTCAACCAGCTCTCGGTGTTGCCACTGGGCCCCTCGGAATGAGGCTGCAGAATAGTCCCCAAAGAGCAGTGCAAATGATGAAATGGTTGTAGCGACTGACTTTTTAGGAAAGATTTAAAAGAACAAACTACAGTCTGCGTCGCTTAACTAAACAATGACTGCTGCATGGTAATAGTGTAAAAATACGTGGAGGGGATCCTCACAAGACAATTAAGAGATTCTGTTTACTGTTGTCCAAAGGGCTGAAACTTGGAGACATGCGATAAAATGAAAGCGTGGACTTCTTAACAGTTAGATCAAGCTCCCAAGAGGTGGAAAATTCAGTAGGGAACAATTGGCAAGGGAATGGCCTATTTTAAAAAATTCCACCTGGTACTGGTAGAGCACCCTAACCTGTCCTCACTCCCTCTCTCCTGAGTTGAGCTACACATGGGCTTTTAATGCTCTCTGATCCTCTGCCCCGGTATAACAAGCAGAGAAAAGAGGACAAAAGGAGAGACCCACTGATTAAGATGAAACTGACATGGTGTGGAGCTGCTTGTTCCTGTGGCCAGCTGTGAAATGTGCCAGGAACTTTATCAAATTGGCCAAAGACACTGGAAATGCTGACTTCTCCACTGTACTGTGGGCTGCTTTTCCCTTTGTCTTGTTGGGAGGTGGGGGGTGTTTAACTGGGAAAAAATGATCTTAGCTGGGGTGGTTTTAGATCTAAGTAAGGAGTCAGAATTCCTCTGGTGAATGCTGTAGTGCCTCTCTTTTTTTTTTTTTAACACACATTTGTTTGACTATTCTGTTTCCAGTGGCAAAGTGTGAGTACTTTAATGCTGGGGGGAGCGTGAAGGATCGAATTAGCCTGAGGATGGTGGAGGATGCAGAAAGAGCTGGGATTTTGAAACATGGGGACACGATCATTGAGCCAACATCAGGAAACACAGGTAGGAATTTCTAGGTCACAGTGAGATTGCTAAGCAACTGTGGGAACGTGGTCTGAAGGCTTCCATGGAACAGGTGGGAGAGGGGTTGGAGCAGAGACGGCTGCTCATTCAAAAGAGAAAATGCATCCTTGCCTGACAGGAGGAGAAAACCTCACAGAAGTTCTGCTCCCAGCTCAGGGTCCATCTGAGGAAGGAAATATGATGCTTGATGCTGCTCAGGGACTACTGCTTACTTTTATGTATATAGAAGTTAGTATCTGAGCGCCCCACAATTATTAGAGGACTTTGTTGTCCTCACTATACCCACGTCAGGTTGGGAAGTATTTTCTCCATTGTCCAGAGCTTTCTAAAAGTCACATGAGGCTGAGCTGGGAATCAAAGTCAGGTCTACTAAATGTCAGTCCAGCACCCTATCCACTAGACCATCTTTTGTACCTCTTACTCTGTAGGAATAGATCAGTAGTCCAGCATCCTGTCTCAGATAGTGGCTGATGCTGGATGCTTCAGAGGAAGGTGTAATCTCCAAGTTATTCAGTGACTGAGAGGGGAGCAGAATAGTTGAGAGCAGTCTGGAATTCATTTTCAGCTTCTGCTCTGAAGCACAAGGATTGCTAGCTCCTGTACCTTTATTCTACAATCTTGTATCCAACTGAAACTGCAGAGAGGATGCGGGGGGGGGGGGGGGGCAGGATGAATTGGCTCCTGGCCCATGAGTGGGGCTTGTAGACATTACTGTAACACATAATAGAGTACCCAAAGCTGGAATTTGCCCAGGACATCCATGGGTTGTGCTTGTGGAAAGAGCCATGTGCATCCAAGTGGTGAGGTGCTTAGCTGTACAATTTGCCCGAATGACTTCAGGTAGTACAGAGCATTATACTGAGGCACCAGTTCTGCGGTGAACCTATTGACTAGCCAACACCATGTCCTGTAGCACGTAGCTGTTCTTCAGAGGTGTCCCATCTGAATGCTGACACAGCTGGACCCTGCTTAGCTTGCAAGAGCTGCTGATAGCTCAGCACAAGTTAATTTCGTACAGCTCTGCAGCACAAGCAAGAGTGAGGTCTGGAAAGCAGGAAAAATAATAGCTTTAAGGTTAGAGCCTTTGGTAGTCACATGACATCCTAGCAGAAACACTGGGTGATTATCTAGATACAGCTCTGTTTTCAGCACTCACCCTTTGAAGGCTGGAACTGCAGTCCTGAATTCCACTTTTGAGACCTACGAGTTTGGATCTGTATTTTGCATGCCTCTGACTCCTTACCTGTGGTGACATGGCTGGCTGTAGTTGACACGGTGTTCTGTCACACTAACAGGACTAGGTCTCTTAAATCAGAATGTCCCTCTTGCCATGGGATCTATGGGGTAAAATGGCAGAGACTGTGAGGAATGTGTAGGGTAAAGGACTTCTCCTCCCAGTGAAGACTGTCTTGTTTTACTAAAGGCCATGAAGAATGGAGGCAAGGCCTAGGTAGGCAGCTGTGATGCTCCCCAGGGGTAACCAAGGTTTTGAGGCACATCACCACCACCACCTGCCCTAGAGTGAGGGAGTCTTGTCCGTGCTTGCTGTGGATCAGCTCCTGAAACCAACACAAGCACTGCCTTCCAGGCCTCTTCAGGCCTCCCGCTGTCTGTTCCGGTAGAAATAGACACACACAAACTCCCAAGCCCTCTCCGAGCATTCCCTGTAGTATCCAGCCTCTTATCCCCTGAACACTCACAGAAATAGCAGGTCTAGAGGATTCAAGTGATAGTGAGTAAGGATACTGGAAACGAATGGTTACATATAAACCGAAATCATAGCACACTTTCTAGAGAGTAAATAGGTTAACCTCTGGTGTACAGAAGCTTATCTCACCCAGAGTCCTCTACAGCGTTTTCAGTCAAGCTTGGTTGAGACCCCTTTTTCAGAAAGCAAAAGTGCTGTCCTCTTACTTCCTCAGTGAAGAGTGTCTGGGTGTTCCAGTTGCCCCCTTCCCAGATATACCCAAGTAAACCTTTGTTATGCACCTCCAGATAAGGTTCTCTGCCACTGCTGTGTTTCTCTTCCTGTTAGTTCTTTTTTACAATGCTTCCTTTGCATTCAGTTCTGACTGGTGATAGGGGAACCGTTGTGAACAAGACGATACTCAATTTATGTGAGACTAGACAGATCAGAGACATCTCCTGTTTGACAGAAAACCAGCTTTTCACCAGCCTTGATACAGACTTTAAGAACATATTTTCAGTATACATACATAACTCCTTACGTAGTATCTGTACATGCGTTTCACAGGGAGATTTGTGACCAGTGTGACACCAACTTTCCTTTGAGACCTGACATGACATTCTTTGGTGAACCAGAATGTACATCCCAGAATCAGGGTAACCTCCGTGCACCTCATTTCTGGTTGGCATCAAGAGGGTTCTTGGGTCACAGCAGCACAGGGAATTGCCGGTCACTCCTGGCCTCTGCCCATAGCCAATTTCTCTAAGAAGGGGATAGGATTTCTCCTCTCCCCTACACCGCACTTCCGCTGCACCTGGCTCCCTAGTTTGACATTTGCAGCACTTTCATGTTAATCTCTTAAAAGTGTAGGGTAATAGAGTTTGGGGTTTAGAATGTCTTTCTGATTGTCAGTGTTGGTCAGATTTTACCTCAGTATCGGGCGTTAGTGAGACCATGGTTGGAATACAGTGTCCTGTTGTGGTGTCATCACTTCAGAATGGATGTTGATGAGCTGGCTGCGAATTTTTCAATGAAATATATTTTCATCAGAAAACTGATTTTTCAAAACCAAACTTTTTTGAAGTGTATGTCTCAACAAAACTTCCTCCGAGAAACCCACCCCAGAATACCTAATGGCTACTGATTTAGCGTAGGGGTTTGAACCTGGATCTCCCACATCCCAGGCAAGTGTTCTAACCACCAGGCTCTTTCTGGCACAATATATATTTAATTATTTATATGAGGTGGAACAGTTCCAACATGAGAGAGCAAGAAGACTTCCCCGGTGAGTGCTCTGACCACTGGGCAATTGGTTATTGTGAGGTGGCTCTTTTTAATGTAGCGGGAGGGGGTGGGGAATTCTAAGGGTCTCAGTTTTTTGCTCTGATATGGAATGAAAACAAATTCCAAAACCTTGACGTTGTGCATAAAATGGAGTTCTAATTTTCTGGCCAGCCCTATCTGATACATTGGAAAGGGTTCAGAAGAGAGCTACAGAAAATGATTCAAGGACTGGAAAATATGCCTTAAGGTGTGTGTGTGTGAGAGAAAGAGAGAGAGAAACTAACAGGTTGAGCTTCATTTATCCAAGAGAAGGTTGAGAGGTGACTTGATAGCAGCCTTCAACTACCTGAAGGGGGCTTCCAAAGAGGATGGAGCTAGGCTGTTCTCAGTGGTGACAGAACAAGGAGCAATGGTCTCAAGTTGCAGTGGGGGAGGTCTAGGTTGGATATTAGGAAACACTGTTTCACTAGGAGGGTGGTGAAGCACTGGAATGGGTTACCTAGGAAGGTGGTGGAATCTCCATCCTTAGAGGTTTTTAAGGCCCCGCTTGACAAAGCCCTGGCTGGGATGAGTTACTTGGTGTGGGTCCTGCTTTGAGCAGGGGATTGGACTAGATGACCTCCTGAGGTCTCTTCCAACCCTAATAATCTATGATCCCAATTTACAAGAACCTACCTGAGGAAGAGATCTGTGAACAGATATTTAATTGAGCAGTCAAAGGCATAACAAGGTCTAGTGGTTGAAAGCTGAAGCTAGATAAATTCAGCCTTGAAAAAAGGTGCAAATTTTTAACTTCTGTTAGAATTATCCTCACTTATGGGCTTGATGTAGAAATTGAGTGAGGTTCTACAGCCTGTGTTATGCAAGAGGTCAGACTAGATTATTTTAATAGTGCCTTCTGGCTTTAATCTATGAAATTCTGTTCACTCCCAAACTACATCTGTAACATGTGGGCAGAGGTGGGGCAGAGGAAAAACTAGGCTGGGAAACCCAGCAACATGAACTTGCAAATTTCCCTGTATTTGCTCGCCTTGTTGATGGCTCTGGTCTGGGGTTGAGCCAAATGGTGCCTTTAAAGCAGACAGTCCTGCTCTCCAACTATCTTGGAGAGTAGCAACTTTTTTCTTTTTAGTCTCTGCAGTGATACCCCATTCAGGCCTGCAGAGAACAGCTCTTAAAACTGGGACATGCAGAAGCTACCATGGTGGTTTTGTTTCTTACAACATACTCTGTATTTCTCCGCTTCCAGGAATTGGGCTGGCCCTGGCTGCTGCAGTGAAAGGCTACCGCTGCATCATTGTGATGCCAGAGAAAATGAGCATGGAGAAGGTCAGAACTATTTGTATTGCCAATAATTAAAAATAAATTTGTTCAAATATGTTCCAATCCTGATGAGAGGAGGATTCACAGCCAAAAAGATGGCAATTGGATACTGAGGCACTGCAAACCAATTTACCATATGTCAGATATTTTTAAATAATTGGTCAGAGTATATGCATAAACTTCGAGGAGGGGGAAGGGCAGAGGGGGTGCTGTCAATGTTGAAGGGGAATATTGGTAGGCCAGTCACAAAGCAAAAAGGCAGACATTATAGAGGTGAAGCTGCCAGTAGCTGTAGCACCACTGAGTGTAGGAATTTTTAAAGTATTCGTGTCTGTGACAAGAAAGACTTTAGGTGCAAGCAGAAAATTTGAAGTGATACTTAATTTAAGGAAAGACTGTCATTGAATGGAGGGTCTGAGGGAAGCCAGTGGAGACAGCTGAAGAACTGGATGCTTTAACATCATGTTCTATGTAGAGTGGTGAGACCAGAGAGAGGGTGCCACATTGCAGTGTATTGTTTCAGATTACACAGTGGGAAGTGATGGCAAGTGGCTACAAAGCAAATATGTTCTTTCCTCAGTTTAAGGAAGTTTGGATCCATATGTGTTGAGCAAGCTTTAATGACAAAGGGGAATAGATCAATATGGAATCCTTCATTGTAGCAGCAGTGGAAAGAAAGAAGTTTCTAGCCTTCATGACTTCAGTCTTGCTGCGCTTGATCCCAATCCTGCACCACTCACTTGGGTAGAACTCCCACTGAAGTCAGAGGGAGGTTGGCCTGAGTAAGGATGGCGGGATCGAGCCTCTGCTCCTTTGATTTCAATTTTTAGGTATCCATTTGGAAGAGAAAATTCAGAGCAGCACATAACCTCGCCATGGGAATAAGATGATCTTGGTCTAGGTAGTTCCCTTACACCAGTGCTAGGCTGGATGGCAAAGAAAACAATGCTGAGTGTTCATGATTAAGCTCTAGACACTATGCACAGGCTTCTTGGTGTTTTAATTTTTGTTCTTACAGCCTACATTTCACTCTTTGAACCAACGAGCATTAGGGCCCTCCTGTGTGGAGGCATCAGGTTATGCATTGACACAGCTGTTTTAAGAATTTTCCATTCCCAAGTCTTGGGTGTGTGAAATCTTTGCAGCTGTTGCACTCAGGCAGGCCTAGGGGTACAAAACCACCACGTAGCCGGAAGAGGTACCTGAACATTACAACTGATATATTTAAATAGTGCCTTTCACACAGAGATCCCAAAGTGCCCAACCAACTTCACAGATGAGAACTGCTTTCCCCATAGTTCTAATTCAGCCAACTCGAGGTCTGGAGATGGTGTAAGTAGCTTAAAATCTGCCTATATTTCCTATATTTTACAACAATCAAGAACAAGTGAAGAAAAAATTTTGGCCCACCTAAAACTACAGTAACTGTAGCAGAAGGCAAAACTGAAGTGGAACTAAGCGAGGCCATGGAACTAACATCACTACTCTTGACGAAAACGACATGAGATTTTTAATGACCACAAATGATTAGGACCTCTGTTTTCAATGTCCTCTGAAAAGACAGTGACTCCAGCAGGAGAGGTGCCCTCTGGTACTCTGCTGGCACATGGGCAAAGTTCTGAGGTGAAAGGAAGAGTGCTACATTCTGAATTGCCCACACCACATCCTGCAGCACCTGGATCTGCCCTGGAGGCCTGTTGCTTAAACAGTGACTACACCCAAACCTCCTTAGCTAATGACTTTTTCAAACGATCACACTTCTCGTGGTATGACTGCAAGCATAAGGGGATGTCTATGGTAAGGGTTCTACCACTTTGCTATCTAAGTGGAGGTCTACTGCATAATATGTTGAAATCACTGCACTTAATACTTATTTTTAACATATTTATTATGGTGCTGTCTGTGAGCCAACCAAGAGTGGGTCCTAGTGCGCAAGGCACTGTACAAATCATTGGAAATAAAATGGTGGTTCTAGGCTATGGCACTGGGAGTCTTGGGTGTGTCTTTACTAGTCTGTAAGGTAGCTGGTGTGTACATGTTTTTAATACTTTGCACTGAGTAACACCTCACTACACACAAAAAAGGTATGTAGAAATGTGAGAGTCCTAGCTTCATACTCCAGACAAGTGGACTGTAGCCAAATGCTCCTTTCTTATTTGCCATTGAATGTTACATTTTCAGGTCAAATCCATCATGTAGCTTTCAAAACATGAGTGTTGTGGGAATGGGACAGTGTTGCTTGGCCGTGTTGATAAGCATTATTTTAGCTCTGTAATTCCATTGGCAGAACTGATTAGATGTGGGGGGGTGGGGGGGATCTTCAACTAGGTTGAGCTGAAAATGCAGGTTACAAACCAGTGACAAATGTGTGTCCTTGTAGGCAAACAACAATGATCATACATTTCAGGCCACTAGACATTTAAAAAACCGAGACAGAGAGGACAGCGTTTAACCTGTTGGGGGCATCTGTTCTGAAACACTTTGCTTCTGGGGATTGAATTGATACAGACTTTAAGCAGTGGGTATGGAAGACATGCACACTCTTGTTTATATAAAGTTTATAGTCGGCTTTTTTTCATCCTCTGACATACCAGTAGGGTCTCTGTGCCTATGGAGATTTTTGACTGACTCTATTTGATTCAGGTGGATGTTCTGAGAGCTCTTGGCGCTGAGATTGTGAGGACCCCAACTACTGCCAGATTTGACTCGCCTGAATCTCATGTGGGAGTAGCATGGCGACTGAAAAATGAAATCCCCAATTCCCATATCCTAGACCAGGTAAGGTCCTGAACAACTGAGGTGCATATGTGGGATAGAGAGAAATATTGGTAATGTCCTTTTCCTGCACTCCACAGATAAGAGTAACAGCAGCCCTGGATTGAGAGTATGTGTAGATTGAACCTGGGATCTCTGGATCTAAAAGTGTGAATTGCTGTTGCCTTACCAGGTTCCGTAGCTCAACAAAAGTAGCAGATCACAAATGTCTAAATGTGGCTGTGCCACTAGAGTGGCACAAAAAGCCCAGGGTGAACTGGCTTTTCAAATTGAAGCAATTTAAATCAACAATTTTAATCATGATTTAAATCAGCAAACCAGAAATACTGATTTAAATCCTCAATTTGAATCTTGTTTTGTAGTTGTACTTTTTGGTTATTTTCCTAAAGAAAAATTGATTCTCACTGGTTGGTGGCCATTAAAATATGTTGTTTTACAATTAAATATAGCTTTTGCACTAAACTTGGGTGGTCTTTTTACTAACTAGGACAATATACTATAATTGCTTAATAATTGTGCATAATTTAACGTACTTTCAGATGCTTAATTTTTACATTTTGTTTATTATGTTATGGAATGATGCATTTCTTATTTACTAAATTAACTTTTACCTGTGATTTGTGTTGAGCTCTATTTGGATGGAAATTGGAATTGAATTAAAAATGTGCAAAATAGCATTTGTTTTGTTAGTTAAATAAAACTACTTTAAATGTGCTGGATACATAAGAAAAAATTGTAAACTATGGTTTGCATTTACAACTAACTGATTTATTAAACAAGGGAAGTATCTGTAGTTAGTGAATTGAACTGATTGTTTCTGGTCACCATATCCCTCAAGATTTTAGAAGTAGTAAATCTCGTTTTCTCACACCTAGTTTTTATTCATTGATCAGAAGAGGAAAACAAACATTTCTGCTTTTTCAGCTCCAAGTCAGTTTCTCAACTTTAAATGAACTGAACTAGTTGAATAAACTGAAATGAAGAAAATACTCTTGTACCCGCAGAAGAGGCTACTGCTATCAAAAGCTGATTTAGCACTTCAAACTCTGGTTTCTGGTGCTTGCCAAGTGACTTCCACTAGTTCAGTGGTTTGACTTTCTTTAAAACTTTGGCAGCAACCATATACTGCTTAATATTACATTTCTAATTTATTTCAAGTGATATTGATAATTATAGTAAGTTTAGGCCTTAACATAAGTTGCCATAATTTCAAATGTTTATTTAAAAAAAAAGATTTAATTTAAATCTGATTTTAAATAAAAATATGCATGTATATTAAAATTATCTATTCTTATCCACCCTGAAAGAACCACCCTATGTTAGCATAGGTTACAGAAAGACCAAGATAATGTTCTCTGCTAGGTTGGCAATTCTGCATATCGGAGTTGTAGAAAGTTCAAACTTCTACAGAAGATAATCCCACAGGCAGATTGCCCTTGGCTTTCAGGGATGTTGGGGACCTTAGCACAAAAATACCACTTGCTTTAATTGGAGCAGTTGCAGGAATCTCTTCCAGGCCAAGGTAGAAAGTATTGGTAAATGGCTGAACAATTTAGAAACTGGTGGGAGCCTATAGTGGTGTTGTGGGGCTTGAACAAAACTGGTCATTTTTTTTGACCTGCTCCTCGGGATTTGATTTTGATGAGCTGTTTCCATGGTTCAATATGTTTTCCATTGTATTTCAATCTAGTACCGCAACGCCAGTAACCCCTTGGCACACTATGACACTACAGCAGAGGAGATCCTGCAGCAGTGTGAAGGTATGCTAATTCTTTTGCTAGCACTCTTTTTGAATTAACCTCTGGAGTGCTCTTGTTTTAATCACATCCCCCTGTTGAAAGCAGATCAAGGCTCTCAAGGGTATAGAATTGCAGAGACTCTGAGATAGTTTATGTAAAGTTTACGTAATTCAAATGAGACCCATCTAGTTAGAAGTGTGGGATTTTTTAAAAATATTTTTATAAAAAACCTTTTGCTTTTACCTTTCGATGACTGACCGGCCAGGCAAAGTGATGACCCCTAGATAAAGAAGTCTGCATAGCTCAGAGGAGTTGAAGAGCTAGGGAGTTTGAGTATTCATGAATGGGAAGTGGTTTTTAAAAAGGCTCGACTCTTAGTTCTTAATCTAAACTGAGCATGTGAGTTTTTATTGATCCTTTTTTTTTATTATTATTTAATACTAAAACTCTGTGTAAGGTCCACTTACCCTATCACAAGACATTCCTCAATTGATGGTATCCTCAGGAGTACACATAGTTTAGGAACCAAGCTTTTCCGTAAGGATATGATTGTGTCAATGATCACCACTGTCACGAACCAGGAATTTTGCCATTTATGTGGACCCAGTTGCCGTGCATTAACAGTACGGTAGTTCACTTGGATCTAGTCCCATTTCAAAGAGGACTAAATCAAAATGAGCTAACAGACTGTTAATGCGCAGCAACGCGGTCCACAAGGTTACCATGACCTGAGCATGACATTATTTATTTTCCTGTCAGTGCCAGGAATTGTGCATGATTTTACCATGGCATAATTGTATTCATACTTACCAGTAAGTTGTGTTTGGAGCCAGCAGAGGGAGCTTGCACATCAGGTTTCTTGGTCTGTGCCATAAAACCTCATATTTAGCTTCTCAGTGGGATTTCTGTATTTAAAGTAACAAAGCCCTATATTGGATTTAGATAGTGACGATGACCTGCATGTAAAGTGCAGTTATATAATGAGTTTTTGTTCGTCTATGCATGCTTTCCATGTCAGACTTCCTCAGTTTACAAGCGCAAAGGTGGTTTTACTATCACTGAAGCCTCATTTTGATCTCAGACCTCATCTTGACTCTCAATCCATCTTGTAAAGTCAATGGGCCTTATTCTGATCTCACTGTCAGAGGTGTAAGTCTGATGTCATTGCTTCAGTCAATGAAATTACACTTGTGTGAGATCAGAATCAAGCCCTATTTCTTGGGATGTTTTTGATTTGTAAGCAACACTTTTTATATAAGTGCCCAGGAGTTAGTGAAGTGCTCTTTTATTTCTGGTAATAAATCATTTAAAGACAATCAGATAAAATAATTGTTGGCCAAGTCCTGATTATTCTAGCTCTTTTTGTGCATTAATAGAATAAGGACAGATCAACATCTACCACCAAACATCATAAAACAAATCCACAGATGGCAAATACGACACGTACACCCCTCAGCCCTTCTCCAAAGCCTTGAAAACATGGGGTTGCAGAGTGCCCAAAAGGCTATCACAAAGCTGGGCCCTGTTGGACTAAACGAGGGGGAGAAGGGGGAACAAGGGCTGAAGTTAGGTCTCTGAATACTCTTGCTGTGAGGTAAAAGGCTACTTTACATTGTCACCTTTCTGACATTAACTGCGCTTTCATTGGAGAGAGAAATGCATCTTGTGCATTCCTAGTCTGCAATAAGATTTTTATCTATAATCCCAATGGATGTTTTCAAGGTGGTATTTGATTCCTTGCACTTAAAATAGGAAAAATAGACATGCTGGTGGCTGGAGCTGGTACAGGAGGCACCATTACTGGCATTGCAAGAAAGCTGAAAGAGAAATGCCCAGATTGCAAAGTAAGTGGCAAACTAAAGCATCTTAGTAACTATTTCTAGCTTAAGTGACTTGCAAAGTTCCTTGTGGGAATAAGTCCCATTTTTCTCATCTTTGTTGGGGCACTTTAATCCTTACCTGGGACACATCTGCTTGTTCTGAGCTGGGTGGTAGTTTTGAGCTGTTCACAAAAAGCATAGGAAGCCACCTCATTCTCTTTTCACATGTGACCCAAGTCAGAGTTTGATCCTGAAAATTAAACCACAAATTCCAAATGGCCCATATTGAAAAATGTTGTTCTCCCTACTGTGTATATTCTGGACACCTGTTTGTATCCAAAAGATGTTTGCACTTTCCCTTCACTGACTTTACAAGGGGTAATTCTCTGGAATCACTGAATTTCTGGCCAAATGAAACTTGTCCCAAGACATGCAAATCTGTGTGTCCCTCAATAGGCACATATTGTTCCTGTCTCTGTTACCTTATGACTCTCGGTGGCCGCTTTCCATTTTCCGATGGAAACAGGATACTAGCTTCTCTCAGTGTAACAAGGCACTACTGTTAAGACTTTCTGTTTGCTCCTGGTACAAAATGGTAGAGATCTGACTTCTGGGTGGGGTCAGGGCAAACACCTTCCATTTAGCTAAACAAAATATTCGTAGAATGAGCTGTGCCTTTCCCCTACAATGTCTCACACCCTGACCAAGTAGGATGAGTTGCTGAGGGGTAGGAGCAACAAGGCAGTTTGCAGAAAGGAACTTGCCAAAGGACAGATTGGAAACAAAGACTTATTTCAATGACTACGGCCTGTATGTGCATGGCCGGCATGACAGTTTTGTCAGGTAACAGTCCTAACATAACACTTGGATTTAATAGCTATGTGTTGAAAAAACAAGTGCAACGGTAGCCAAATCTGAAATCCCCTTCTCCAGATTATTGGCGTCGATCCCCAGGGCTCCATTCTTGCTGAGCCTGAAGAACTGAATAAGACTGACAAGACAACATACGAGGTGGAGGGGATTGGATATGATTTTGTCCCTACAGTGCTGGACAGATCGGTAAGTCAAGCTCCTCAATTAACCACTCCTTGCCTTCCGCTCTGCGGGGGGAGGGGGGAAAGAAGTTGGAAATAGCATGGCAGCTACTGTGAGGGACACAGAATGTGTTTCTTTGAGATTAGAGGGGTTAGGAAGCACAATGAAATCCTTTTCCCACTGTATCCCAGCAGGTAAAGCAGCCCCAGGTGAACGTCTGAGCTGGACACATTTTTCTTGCTCTTTCATAATACTGTGTGAAAACATGCTGTGCAGATAACTTTTTCCCTGAACAATCCCTTTAAATAAAACCAAAAAAAACCCCAGCCCACAACTTGATCTCTAGTCCAATGACATCAGGTGCAAGGTAGGACTCACTTTTCTGGAGGAGAATGACCAGTTCTCCTTGTAGCTTTTCCCACAGTCACCTTATTTAAAAGACAAAGTACTTTCTACTAGTATAGGGAACGTCACTAATACCACAGTAGTGTGTGTTAGGCAAAAAAAAGCAGTTGCGGGATGTGAACGCAAAAATTGTAAGTCTATAATTTGAAACAGCTGAACAGCATCTGCTGAAAGGGATATGATCAGCTATGTCTTTTGTCTCCTTTCCCCTGCACTCTTTTAGGTGGTGGACAAGTGGTACAAGAGCAATGATGAGGAGTCTTTTTCTTTGGCACGCATGTTAATCAGAGAGGAAGGATTATTGTGTGGTAAGAGCTGGTACTAATCCTCCAAAGTTTCCTGTGAATTAGATTGCGGCATTGTGCAAATCACTTAACTGGTCAAAGGGAAACCTTGTCAGTGTTGGGATTAGAGCTCCAGAGTTCTTTTCTCCACCCCTGAACTCGACCCACCTTTCTCTGATCTTATCCTCCTGTTTCACAAGTGGCTACCACATGCAGTGGTCTTGACGGTGTGATCTGGGTGTTGACAGGTGGCAGCTCTGGCAGTGCAATGTCCATTGCTGTGAAGGCTGCCAAGGATTTGACAGAAGGTCAGCGCTGTGTTGTCATCTTGCCCGACTCTGTCAGGAACTACATGTAAGAAATTGCCCCGTTCTCTTTCTGCTTCGTGCCTGCTGCCTTCACGGAGGGTGAGGCATTCATACCGAGTTTAGACAAGCTTTTCCACAGTGTCTAGTGGTTTTTGGTTCCCAACTTGAGGACTCCGGCAGAAGCCTGGTTTACAGAAGGTGGGAACTCAGCGAAAATAAGGCCCCTTTAAGGTATCTCAGGTTTGGGCATCCAGAAGTCACTGGTCACTTTGGAAAAATTCGAGTCCTGAATTTCTTTAACCATTTTAATTGGGATCTCTTCTGGGACTTTTCAAGGAATGGTTGTCCTCTACTCTCTGCCTTGTGCTATGAATTGAAGAGAATACTATTGTAGTAACAGCTTATGCGGGGGGGGAATACAGAGTTACACTTGCTCTAACTCCTATGGCTAAATTCACCTGACCCCACACTTAAAATACAGCTTTACTCTGCGACACTGTACAGTTCCCCATTGTGCCGTATGGGAGCACAAAACTGTAAATGTATTTAATTTAATACCTTCCAGCACTTCTCCTCCATTACAAGCGGTCTCATTATATGGTTGTGCCATTTCCTTTCTTCTTTTTACAAATATTCTACCCACATATCCCTTCGCCATAAAGACTGGCTGAGTGCTATTATGTGTTTGTAATTATACCGCTATCTGTGCTGGGGGTACAATAGGGGATGTAACTATATGCCATTGTATGTACTAACAACACAAGTGTAACCTGCGTGGGAGCTCATGACCTCTTTGCTTTCTTGATGGTTTCCAGGTCCAAGTTTTTGAATGACAAATGGATGACCCAGAAAGGGTTCATGAAAGAAGATGATGACATCGTTAAGAAACCTTGGTAAGGCAGTCATGTTCATTTGAGTTTTGTGAGTCAGTTGCAATGGGGTGGGCCACTTGAAATTTCTCTGTAGCTTGCAATGTTTCCTTGTCTGGGGATACGGTGAAGCCTACTTAAATCAGTAGAAATCTTTTGAGTTGTTCACTTTGAGAAAGATTTGATACTTTTGCCTCAGTGACAACTGCAATTCTTAAATGAATGAAAACTTTTTAAACTCTTCCCCCAGCCCAGTTATTCATGTTTTAAAGCCTCATTGATGTTTATGGCATCATCTACTGTTAATTAGGCAGGTTGAGATGCATATATGCTTTTTGGGCACAGGGAACGGTCTTTTTCGTTGTTTGTGCAGCACCTAGCACAATGGGGCCTGGACCATGACTAGCACTCCTAGGCACTGTAGTAACATAAATAATAATCCTTTTGTCAAGTACAGTGAAATGGACATTGTCAACTTGACATCTAGTCAGTATCAAAACAGTTAAAAGAAGTTTGGGGGGTACTTAACTGCCCTCAGGCCCCTGCTAGTCTTTATGGTTTTACAGTCCCTCTTTCCATCTTTAAACAAATCCCTACCTGTCTCTCCTGTTGATGCTGGAAGACCCCCACACAAACAGGAGGGGAAAAGTTTGCTAACAGTCTGTACAGAGAACGCTGACTGGACCCAGAGTGAGCAAATTGGAAAAATACCTTCTAATGTCTTTATTGGTATTGTGGTAATGCCCAGAAGCCCCAGGTAGGATTTGGACTCTGCTGTACTACATGCTGTACTAACAGAATAAGAGACACTCCCTGCTCCAAAGAGCTTAGTTTTTACAGTTATTTAGATCTTTAGCAGTTTGGGGCAGGGACTGACTGTCTCTTATTATGTGCAAGTACAGTGCCGTAGGGCTCTGACCTTGGCTGGGGCCTCTTGACATGATGTATGACAAATAACAGATGTTTAGTTTTGAGCCAAGATGCAAACCGTGGTTGTACCAGACAGTTGGATGAAATGGAGGCTGAGGGTAATGCTGATAGGAGCACATGGCTCCACAAACTATCTAAGTGTCTCACTAAATAAATGGCTTCAAGTACATTAAAATGTTCTTTTCCCTTTTTTGTAAATCAAGATGTAAATGACCAACTGGAGGTATCCGTAATTTCTGCTGGCCATCTGCCATGCAAGGATAGGAATCAAATAAGATGGAAAAGGGACACGGTTGTAATTATTTCCCTTACTGAGTCCTGAAGACCCAAGTGAGCCTTTCTGCTGGTAGTGAGGGGAAATCCTATAAGGTATCTTAGGGCATGGCAATTGCAGAATGATCAGATGAGTTGCTGTAAAACCTATGTGTTTTGTCAACAGGTGGTGGAACCTCAAAGTTCAGGAATTAAGTCTCTCTGCTCCCCTGACAGTGCTTCCAGGTGTCACCTGTGAAAAGACCATTGAAATCCTCCGAGAGAAGGGATTTGACCAGGCACCAGTTGTTGATGATTGTGGGTATGTTCAGATATCAATATCTTCCTCCCTTCCCTCCCCCTCCTAAACAAACCTGTAAGTCAAGTTTCTATTTCTTGTTTACTGTTTACACACAGTAAATGAGAAGTGTGCCTTCTGTCACTTAATTCTCCAGTATCTCCTGCAGGGTCAGCAAGAGTTCGGAAATGTCCTATTACATACCACACAGCTTTCAGATTTAAAATGCTGTCCTGTCAGGACTACCCTGCTCTTGGTCTAATAGGTCTCTAGCTACCATGACCTGATATTTGAAATGTCTCTGTCTATAATGAAGAAATCCCTACATTTTTGTCTGCGGGGGTCGCTGTGGACTCCTGGTAAGGAATAGATCAAAGTGAAACCTCTCATTTAATAAACCTGAGGATGAACCACCACCTTTGCATGGTTGGGTGTTCTCCACAGATTCTTCATGGCATTTCACTGCAGTGAAAACTGGAAAGTGGTCGCTAACCTGGGCCTAGAGAAATGTTTTAAATCTCAAACTTTGTGGCCAATGTCGAACATCTTCTTTCCCTCAGCCTCCATGGTGAGCATGCTGAATGGTAGAAAGCTGAATGCTGATCTTTAGTGGACTAGTGGTGACCTTAGCCTTGTCTCAGGTTTCTTATGGAGGCCAGCAGAGACTATTTAGATCTGCAAGTTAATTTAAACTATACGCAATCATGGTCAGACAGCTGAGTGATTGGATAGACAGTAGCGGAAACCACTAGTTCACCTAGTGAATCTTCTATTACTAGGTAGGAGCGCTGAGTCCTTGCCACAGTGTCCATCAGCCTTGTTATTTGGAATCCCTCTGAATTTAGCATGTGCCAGCACACTCCACAGTTCAGTGGGAAGGACCCGTAACTATTAGCCCCACTTTCGTTTTGGCTCTGGAGTTGAGCACAGCTAGGTAGGAGGGAGGTCACTAAAATGGCTAATTTTAGCAAAACTAGGGGAAACTCCCATTTTAAATGTAATCCAGCCAGGACATTCCCAAACCCAAAACTTTCCCAGAAAACTCACATGTCTGATCACCCAAGCAGAGTTCACTTGGGGGGTATCTACACAGCAGAGAGCCTCCCAGCCCAGGTCGACAGACTTGGTCTTGTGCTACCACACTAAAAATAGCTATGTAGATGCTGGAGCTTAGGCTCTAAAGCCCACCCTCTTCCCTAAACTTCAGAGCCCGAGCTGCAGCGTCTACACAGCTATTTTTTACTGCAGAAGCACAAGCCTAGGTCTGTGGACCTGGGCTCGAAGCAGGCTGCCACTCACTGGCGGGGGCGGGGCGGGGGGTGGTGGTGTAGGGGTTTCAGAACCCAGGCTGTAGCCCCAGCAGGAATATCTGCACTGCTATTCCTAGCCCCACAAGCCTGAGTCAATTGATCCAGGCTCTGAGCCTCAGAGCTGTTGGTTTTTCTTTGCTGTGTAGACACCCTCAGAATCTGAACACCTCTGAAAATGATGATCTACGCTGTTAAACTGACTTTTGGGCATCCCTCTAAGGAAAGCCTGCTGAGAGTGCAGTTCACTTGTCTCTAGAAAACCGAGTGTCTGACATTGTTTGACCATGCCTCCTCTTTTCAGTGTGATTTTGGGAATGGTTACCCTTGGGAACATGCTTTCATCATTACTTGCTGGGAAAGTTCAGCCATCAGATCATGTCAGCAAAGTAATCTACAAGCAATTCAGACAGGTAAACCTGCTCTATGTCTACTTCTTTACTTTTCAAGTATTATTGTAGGTATCCGAGCATTACAGTGGCATAGGCTAGAGTAAGGTTTGAAGTGAGGCCATACAGAATCTTCTCTTTGAGAATGTGCCACTATCATGCAGACCTGGGCTTGGATCTCATTTTAGACTCTAAACTCAGCCTGGGGTTATTGAAAGGCTCCCAGACTTGAGGTTGGTTTATGGTGCTGCATCAGACCATTTAACTCTTGTGGGTTTGATAGGAACTTTTTTTCTTGTCATTGGGTTTTTTTTTTATGTCCTTCCCCCTCCCCCCCCAACCTGAATGTAAAACTGAGTAGTGTGAACCTCCATGGGAAGAAATAATTGAACTTCCAACAGCTCTTGTGTAAATTCCAATGGCAGTTGAAACCAGCAAGTGCTCACTTTGCAACAAAGACTGGAATTGTCACAAGCTGGTGACTGATTAGTTCTGACTGCCATCAAAGTGCATGAAGCATTATGCCAAGCAAGTCTACCTGGCAGTCAGCTTTGCCATATTTATCATACAGTAAATTGGTATAATGGTACTGAGCTCCTGTGTAAAGCATTTGGAGATCTACTGCTGATAAGCACTACAAGAGCTAGGTGATGTTATCATTAATCGGGAAGCTTATGACACTCAAAATAAATAGTAGGCTATTATGTTTTAGTGAAAGGCCCTCCTTCGTATGGAAGGATTGAGACATAGCTTTCTTCAGGCTTTAGATTCAATATTACATTTAGTAGTAAATAATTAAGTTCATAATGGAGCTTAATTATTAATATTTAAAATTCTAGGGAGGGAACTGTATTCAACTATATCTAATTATTATATTCTTATGTATAATCTACTGGCTGCTTGTTTTCTAGCTTGTCAAAATGAAAATTTCAGGTGCTACTTCCCCTTAATTTTTTTCTTTTCTTTTTGTCCAGCTTTTTTCCCCCAAAACCACAGCACTTAACAAACCCCAAGAACTCAGTGGGACGTGGATTCATTAAGTAATAGTTGTACTGTACAGCACTTTGAACATGAACAACGCTACACAAGTGCTAGTTTATTATAATTTTAATGGTCTCTAGGATGGTAGGGGCGGGGGATGTTGAACTTTTATGTTATTACAGGACACTTTGCTTTTAAGTTTTTGGTAACTTTCTCTTTTTAGATTCATCTGAAAGACAGCTTGGGGAAACTTTCTCATATCCTGGAAATAGACCACTTTGCTCTAGTTGTACATGAACAGATTCAGTGTGAGTATAACATAACTAAGGTAGTGTGTGTGTGTGTGTGTGTGTGTGTGTGTGTGTGTGTGTAGTACCAAATGACACCGTAAGCTGTTATGTATGAGGCATTAGATATTGTGTGGTAAGAGTTGGGTAAACCAAAGGCCTCAACCACCTTACCCATGTAGGTATTTCTGTATAAGACCATTACTAACACTGGACCACAAGAATGATGAAATGATTAGAAACATTCTTTATAGTGAGATTCAAGAAGCTCAGTCTTCTTAGCTTAAGAAAGAGTAAGTTAAGGGGTGACTTGATCACAATCTATAAGTATCCATATGGGGTACAGAAATTAGATAAGAGGGTTCTTCCAACTAGTAGACAAAGGTATAACAAGTTCCAGTAGTTGGAAGTTGAAGCTAGACAAATTCAGACTAGAAAAAAGTGCACATTTATAACAGGGAGGGTATTTTAACTGTTGGACAAACTTACCAAGAGTTGTGGTAGAATTCACATCACTAGAAATTCTTAAATCAAGAGCGGATGTTTTCCTAGAACATTGCTCTAGTTCAAACAGGAATTAATTCAAGGAAATCTTGTGGCTTGTGTTATTCAGGAGGTTAGACTACATCAGGGGTAGGCAACCTATGTCACACGTGCCAAAGGCGAGCTGATTTTCAGTGGCACTCACACTGCCCAGGTCCTGACCACCGGTCTGGGGAACTCTGCATTTTAATTTAATTTTAAATGAAGCTTCTTAAATATTTTAAAAACCTTATTTACTTTACATACAATAGTTTAGTTATATATTATAGACTTATAGAAAGAGACCTTCTAAAAACGTTCAAATGTATTACTGGCACGATAAACCTTAAATCAGAGTGAATAAATGAAGACTTGGCACACCACTTCTGAAAGGTTGCCGATCCCTGGACTACATGATCACAATGGTCCCTTCTGGCTTTATAGTCTAAGAATCTATGAGCATTGTGACAATGCACCACTTTGCATTGAGAAAATGTTTAATGTCTAGCTTTTTTTTGTGGGTGCTTAAAGTTGTGTAGAACACCGCATAGCATCAGTCATTCAAATTGTTCTTTCCATTGTGCATTACCTTGCATTTTTCTATACAGAATTTCACCTGTTGGTGTGTTACCCATTTGTTTGTTTTGTTAGATCCCTCTGAAGTGACTTAAAAGCCCCTCTAGACTTCACTAACCTAAACAGTTGTCTTTTGCAAATGTTGCCTCTTCACTGCTCACCCCATTTCCAGATCATTCAAATAATGCTAAGTACTAAGTCTCCTAGTACAGCAATGTGAGGCACTTACACTGCTAACATCTTCCATGTTGAAAACACAATTTATTCCAAACTTTTATCTCTCAGCTAGTTCCTAATCCATGACAGAAATTTACCTCTCTTCCCATGACTATTTAGTTTCCTTTGCAACCTTCTGAGTAAATTTAGCAAAGGGTTTCATTTCAGTAATTCCTAGAGTGCTGTCAATAAGAATGGCAGCTCACCTCCATCTGAATGTACAATCGGTTGGGTAGGTTGGCTTCTTAACCATACCTGCGGGCCTCTGGTATTTTGGAGTCATAGTTGGCTTCTAGTTTTAGAAAGCAGTAGTATAAAAATTGAGTGTGTATTTGGTTTGAGCCTGCAAAGGTAGGAAAAATCTTCTTCTGTTTTTCTGTAGATCACAGTGACGGCTCCTCCAGTAAGAGACAGATGGTGTTTGGCGTTGTTACAGCCATTGACTTGCTTAATTTTGTGACTGCACGGGAGTGGGAAAGAAGGGCCACCTAAGTTCAAGGACCACTCTGTTTCAACATCTTCCGTGGCATTTTGCAGTCTCTAGAAAGAATCAGGCCTCGTCTCTCTCTCTCTCTCTCTCTCTCTCTCTCTCTCTCTCTCTCTCTCCCTTTGCTAGAATGTTCTGTCTCCTGTTTTGTTTTTAACATTCTAAAAATAAACACAGTTGGGATCATCCTGACTGCTGTGATGTAACAGCACATCTAAACGTTGCAGAGCTTTTCAGGATTGTTAGCTCTCAATCTCCTGTAATTGGTTGATCTGCATAGAATTTATATAAAAAAACAAATGTTAGACCGTACTGATTGTGCTTAAAGTCTAAAACACTGTTAACACTTAATTGAAGGTAATAAACTGAACAGCCACAGCCAAGCTGAGGCGAGAGCAATCTAGGAAGACTGCCTATGAGACTGTGTGTGTTGCTCATTGACATAAAATAAGTCCAAGACACTGGATTTGGTGACAATATGGGTATGCCTTCCCTAGTAAAACATTTGTGTATCTTTTCACAGTGAGATCGTTAACTTGAAACGGGGTTGAGGTAAATCCTGGACTCCAGCTATAGGGTTTACCTCCAGCAGCTGTTTTGAGTCCGAGCTATCACTTGCCTTGTCTTGACTGAAATATTGCAATAAGGTAGCTAACACAAGAGAGTCATCTTACTGTAAAAGACACACCTTTTTCTTAGTGAAGACACAGCTTATATCATTTATTTTTACCTGGCTGAATAACCACATGCGTAAACAACAAATCAAAATCAGATCAAGCTCTCTAAAGAGCGAATTCTTACCGGTTATGGCGTGTTTCATGCACAACAAGAAGGCAGCACATTTCCCCTGAAAACTTTTATCTAAGACTGACCTCCTACCTCTAACTGAAGTTCTTATGCCTACACTTAGGTCATATAATGTAATTCTCTCCAGTCAGGAGCAAGGGGAGGCCCTGTAAGATCCTTTCATCGCAGCCCCCTGGCTCCTCAAGTGCTTCTGAACTCTAGATGTCTCTGCAGGGAAGAAACACGAGCTTCTGCGATGTATAACAAAACATAAACACATCTAGGACAAAATCCTGCCCTTCGTTAGACTTGTATAACTGGACTACAGGCAATAGGGCTGCATAGGTATGAGAGGGCAGAATTTGGCCCATAATATTTAATGAGTGTACTGAATACACTGTGACCAAACTTACCAGTGACCCACTGCAATGGCATTGTCTGAGCCAGTCAGAGTGGAGGGGATGCTGTGCAGTTAGCTAGGTGTAACTATGGATTTCTTTTAGCTACAGAGGTTTCTGGAGTCTCATTTGTGTCTGACTTGCATTAGTTTAGTGTTGCCCTTTCATAAACTGTTCAGTCCACCTAATCTTGTACTCTGGCTAATAGTGGCTCTCAGCCACTCGGCAGTGGTTTACATAATAACTCTACAGAGATGCTGTCTCGGCTTCTCACTCCCTTTAGCTGAAGCAGAAAAATTCCACAGTTTACACACAAAGCCAGACAAAAACTCCCAAGAATCTGCAGCTGTCAATCAACTAAAAGAGGAATTATTTATATATACACACACACACAATATAAAAAATCCCACCCATCTGTATTTTCATTTCCCTCCTTCTTTCAATCGCTGCAGGTCTCTTAGCCCCACAAATGCTGTCACATTTGCTTTACAATTTGAAAATCTGCAGCCCCTCCTTCCCAATTCAGTTTTCAGCACAAACTGTAAACAAAAGTATGTTATTCTGGGGACAGCAGCCTTGCTGGTGTGGAGAGGAGCGAAATGAATGTGTGATGAGAGTTAAGACTGGCTTTGGAAGTTTCTTTACCTTCTGTAGTATGACAGTCTCTATTTTGTAGCTTCTTCTCTTTACTCTTAAAAGTTGAATATTAAAAAATTTCATCATAATAACAACTTCAGGCTGCTTCATGTTAACTCTTTAATGTCATGTCCATGGCTACTAAATGCTTCTGCCTTTGGCCTCTAAGCTTGTTCAACCCAGGGTATGATTACCTCAACACCAGAAGTCCCCTCAAGTTACTGTTATAACAAAAAGAACAGGAGTACTTGTGGCACCTCAGAGACTAACAAATTTATTTGAGCATAAGCTTTTGCTCAAATAAATTTGTTAGTCTCTAAGATGCCACAAGTACTCCTGTTCTTTTTGAGGACACAGACTAACATGGCTGCTACTCTGAAACCTGTTATAACAAAAGTTACACAAAGTGTCTGAAAGACTTAAAAACTCTCCCTGTTGCTTGGAGCCAGTGAGCAGTTGCAAGCTGTAGCTTAGATAGCATTAAAGAAATGCTCCCTTCCTCTTGGTCCTGGACTGATTTAAGTAATTCTCTAAGTAAATAAATCGGTGGAACCATCACTGTCAGGAACTCAGAGAAAGAGGCAGAACAGAGCTAGAAAGAGAAATCTAGACAAAAGTAATTAATACAGTGCTGCAATGAAATAGACATGCCTCCCTCCCCTCTCTCCCCCACCCACACACTACCAGTGGGAGGGACTCTATTAGACAGTTGCATCTGACAGAATCATCCCAGTCCTGAAATGACTTGGACAAAAAGTCATCAAATGCAGTGGTCTGTTCAAAGCTCCCTGTGTACTCTATAGCAGCGGTTCTCAAACTGTGGGTCAGGATTGCCTAAAAATCTCTGTATTTACTGTGCTGTGAAGACCAAATAAGGCTGGTGGGGAAGTGTGTGTGTTAAACTCAAGTCTTCTGTCCAAAGCTTGAATAGAACTATTTTTACTGGTGTGCGCGTGTGTGTGTCTGCGCTCTCCATATTATTTAGCTTATTGTAAACAGATGCTGGCCACCTTACTTAAAGCTACTTTGCACGGGGATATTTGTTGAAATGTTGCATTGCATTTGTATGTCTTTCTCTTTAAATTTCAACCCTTTTGGTTTACTAGTGACTCTGTAAAAACATTAGAATTTTCTTATATGAAGGCAGTTTTTCAACTAAATCTGTGTAATTCATCTTTGCAAGGTTTCCTGGTAACTTCACACATGTCAGATAAGGAATTAGAGAGAACTTTAAAGTCCTTCTTTCCACTCATGCCATATCTGTGGCTGACTCCAGAACTCCATGTATGTAGTATAGTTGCAGCCATGTTGGTCCCAGGATATTAGATAGACAAGGTGGTGAGGTAATATCTTGTATTGGACTAACTTCTGTTGATGAGAGAGACAAGCTTTTGAGCCACACAGACCTTCATGTAGCTTGAAAGCTTCTGGTCCAATAAAAGACACTACCTCTCTCACCTTGTCTCTCTAGAATTCCAGGTAATTCAATTGCTTCTGTTTAACAAACTTAATCTAATTCACACAGTTCACCACTGGGTGCTGTCTTAACCTATAGATTGCAGTACTGAGCTTCATGCAGCAAGTAATACACACTGGTTTAAATGGCATTAGCCATTGCAGACTTCATTCAACACTTTCTTACTGTTTAATGTCAACATTTAAGCCACTCTACAGTGATTAAGGGAAGTCTTATGTTTTAAAGGGAAAAAATCATTCAATACAATGTGCTGTATTTATTGCACAAAAGTTCAATGTACATTATAAAGAGTTCAATAAAAGCAACTTGAGTGACTTAAAATGGTTGGGTTTATTTTTAATTTTGCTGTTGGCCATCCAAGTTGAAAGTACCTTTGACTATAGACCTGTTGTGGGAAATTTCCATCGGTCACAAGGCACCACCCAGTTCCAATTGGTTGGCTGTAACGTTATCGGCCCTTTTTCATCTCTCTGGAAGGAACTGGGGATATGTGAGGATCCTGGCAGGGAGCCATGTTTTGTCTGCCCTAAGTTTCATAACAGAACACATGCAACAGTAAAGATGCAAAACTGACACACAGAAAAGGCAAATGCTAAGGTGTTTACTGCAACGTTTACTTACCCACATTGCAAGCCAGTATTGATTACTAATTGGACTGATATTTGTATGCATGAATAAATAGGAACAGTGCGGATCAGTTAGCATTGCTATGAGAACTTGGTGTCTTTTTTGGTTGTTCAGTAAACTCACAATGTTAATGGTGCATTAACAAAACTTTAGTTTTTAATTTTCTTTTTTTAAAAATAAGCTGCCAGGGAAGAGGGGAAATGCTATCTGCATTGTTATGAAACTACTTGTTTGTGTGTGTTGCACAGTTATGTAGTGTCTCAGTTAATTGCTCATCTTAAACCAGAGTAGAAATGGTTTATTTGCCATGCACGAAAGTAAATATCTAATCTCCTAGAAGAAATTGTTATAATTTGCACGCCAACAGCTCTTCACTGTGGACTAGCTACATGTGAAGTTTGAAAGCTCAAGTCTTTTAGATCTATGTGTTTGAAGATCTTCATTTTTTTTAAAGCAGAGAAATTATATGCGGAATGCCCCCCCAGCCTCCATCAGTAATAGCTGGACAGATTTTTCCTCCAAAACTCCATTTTTGGTATCAATCAGAAGATTAGATCGTGTTCTATTTTTTCCCCCTTTCTTTTTGGAATGTTTCAGCCCAATGGGAGAACTTTGCAGGAAAGGATTGACTATAGCCCACTTATAATAGAAGTCACAGTGTAACATCTGCTCTAACATTTTGTGACAATGTTTTTTTTAAGTTTGTCTTTTGAGGTGTTGATCAGTGACCCAGTCTAAAAGTCATTCTTGGACAGGAGGTCCTGGATTGCTCAGTGGATGGGTAATAAAACATGAAGACCCCCTGCATACTTCCTAGATTACTGGTTGAAATATAGCCCACCTAGGTAACGATTGCAAGTAATTTCCATCAAATATGTTTGGTAGCATATAGAAAATGAATTCTGATCATTTCAGTCCAATATCTATGGACAGGTTTTGCTTGCAAACCCACTATTGCAATGATGCAGCGTTAGTGGTGGCCACAGCAGAGAGGCCAATGGCTAACTGGGCATGGGGAACAGGGCAGTCTTAGCCATAGGCTAAAGCTGTCTGCCTACAGTGCCACTTTCAGTGGAGCAGCAAAAGAGGGTCTCTGATCACTCCCTTCAGTTCATTCCCAAACTCTTGTTCAGCCTGCAGTTTCTATCCACTTGCTTCCTCACCCTACTCCAAAAAGGGTTTCCTATTTCTGCTCACTTGTGTGCAGCAGTTCCAAAAATGCCCCCAAATTCTTTTGTATGTTTGCTTCTTGAAGCACTGTGCAGCTAGAGCGAAGGACTCAAGGGTACCCTTTGGTTCTAAAGGCAGCTGCTGGGGGTGACTGGTCAGAAACAGGGACCCCTTTTGGTAAGAGGAAGTGAAACCGATGGGAGACATGGTGGACGGGAGGAAGCCTATCTTTGCAAAACAGGCAGGTACGTCTGGGGTTGATAAATGATTGAACCCTCCTCATCCCTAGAGGTGCTTACCCTGAGGACGCTTGTGTGGTATAATCTCTGCTGAACCCCTTCTGTAGATAGAGGACTTTGGTCCACAAAAGGACCTTTCCATAAGCAATAAATTCCCTTTTAGAAAAAAATCCTGTTGCTGGTGGTGGTGCCTGTTTCTATCACATCTGGGTGGCAAAAGCTGACAGTCACAAACAGACATGCTGGGGATGGGCAGGAGGAGCTCAAAAATAAAGGCAGACCCAAAAAAAAAAATCCACAATATTGTCTTTTTAAAACAACTCTGGATTTTTGGGGTCTGACTCAGGATTTTTGAACCTGTGGGTTTGGCAATGCTGGAATCAGCGAGAAAAATGAGGCAGTTGGCGCTACTGCCCTCAATTTGGGGGACACAAGGACATGCAGGACACAGGCACAGTCCAATGGTCACAGATTCTGATCTCGCAGGCCTGGGGCACAGGTGTACACAAGCATGCTCCCCCTGGACAAAACATCGTGAAGAGTCACCAGGTGAGGTAAGTGACCATTCTTTCTGCCCCCAGTTAAACGAGCGCAAGTGAGGGCTAGATTTAAAGGCAATAATTACATAAGGAACTCAGTCCTGTTAGTGAATAAACAACATGTAACCCTTCTGCCAGTCAGAGGTGGCAGCAACAAGGGCCGGGTTCAGTATCTAGGGGTTCCTTTTCAATAACAATGCAAAACCAGCTCAAGCCCCCGCCCAGTGACCTGGGACAATTACACACCACCCCCTGGGTGCCTCTAAGAGGCAATACTTCCTCTCTCACAAGCAGAGTCTGAGTGTAGCAAAAACTTTTAATAAAATGAGGGGAATAACTCAGCATTAATTTGGGAAAACACCGCAACTAGGTTCATAAACATAAACCCTGAGCAAAAGACCTACCCCCAAGTAAGTTGGGCTGTGTCCTTTTCCCCTCAGGTTCTTAAGTCCAGCAACCCAAAAGTCCCTTTAACATGCCCGTCCCTTCTCTGCACCCCACTCACAGTTCTTGGTCAGTGCAGCCCCAGACTCCAGAGGTTCATCTGCAGCATTCACCTCCCACCCTGGGTGGAAGGGGGAGGGCAAGGAGGCACCTTACACACACCACTGCTCAGGCACTCGCTCACCGCCCCACCAGCCGCCTTGCTGGCCACGTCTCTCCACGAGCCGCCTGGCTGGCTGCTCACCAAGATGTCTTCAACACCCACCACTTAACACAGCTCTGAGTGATTTCAGCTCTCAGTGATCTTAGCTGTTAGTGGGGGGAAGGAGCTTCACAGGTGGTGCACACTGGGCAGTCTCTTGCACCAAAAACACTGTCCCAAAGTAGGTCTAATACTTAGACCTAGGTATCTGTGATTTCAGCTCTGCAGTATATAGCAAGACTCTCAAAAGGTTCTCATGTTGTCTAAGACCCTTAAACAGAGACCACCCTCTCTCAACTCCTTGGGCTTTGGAACCCATGTCCCCTGCCTAGTAAGTGCCATTCAGCTGAGGGTGAGTCCCTCCACTGAGGTATGCTGGGTACAGTTCTGCTGCCCTCGATTCACACAACAAGGATAACAACTCTTTATTACTTCTGCCCCAATAACAAGGAAACTGGGGATCCAGCCCCATCCCCACGTGATCATTTGGGCAAGCAATCCCATCATGCTGAGTACCTACACAGGATGGGTGTGCCCATGCAAATAAGATCAACTCCTGAAGTCCTTTCCCACAGCTCACCACTAGATGTCAGGAGAGTGCTCATTCAGACTCTGCTTACACCCATGACACTAAAATCCCCTGAGGACACTAGGATAGAATTGTTTAGATTTAGTAATGTAGAGACGGACAAGCTAATTGCTTAAATACCGGCAGCACCAAGAGCTAGATCCATAGAGGGACTTGGGTGCCAAAGTTCAACATTTAGGCACCACTGAGATCTTCACAACTCCTCCTCAGTTACCATCTAAACTGGTAGGTGCTTAAATTCCCTAGTTGCCTAGATCTCTGCCAGTAAAGTCCCCATAGCACCTTAGCTCACGCAGGTGAGCATGTGCAAAACTGTTTAAGTCTAGACCCTGCCAAGCTGCTAGGTGCCCTAGCTCACACCTAAGCCCCTAGATGTCCACCCACCTGTCTCGCTGGCAGGGCCTGATCTGATAGCTGTGCTCAGAGCATGCCCACTGATCAGGTCTCGCACAACATGCACCCGACAGCAACTTGTGTATGTGCATGCGCTTAACCGCCTGCTCATCAGGGTATTCATGGGATGTGGGGGATCTGGTTTCAGTTCTTTGCTCTGCCTTATTTAGAGCAGGGACTTGAATGTGGAGTTTTCATATCCCAGATGAGTGTCCTAATTCATTGGGCCAGAGCAAGAGAGATTGACTTTGTAGCTCAGTGATTTGGGCACTCACCTGGGAGGTTGGGGATGTGGGTTCTGGTCCCTGGGCCAATGAATATTTAGTTCACAAAAACGGAACCACTCCAAGAGAGTGCCTAATTGTTAGGGCACTCAGGTGGGTTATGGGAGCCCCATAGTCACGTCCTGTTTCAAATCAAGGAGTGCAGGGGATCTGGAACAAAAAGGACCGAGTTCCCCTTCCCCACCTCCTTTTGGGCAACCCCCTTAGGAATGTCTGAAATTAAGGAGTGTGCAATGCCATGTGCCATGACCAAAATGAAGTATTTACCAGTTGCAGTGGGAGGCTTGGTGAAGAAGAATGTGTTTTACCTGTGGGTAATGGCTCAAGGAAAACAGAAACATCCTCCGTGTTTTAGAACTGCACAGCACTGGATCATTCTCATAGAAAACATGAACTGTTTACTGGGGAAAATATAAAGAAGCACAGTTTATCCCGTGGCTTGTATTATAATTTTGCCAGGTAACAAGACACCACAGCTCCTTGACCACACTGAGCCATAGTCTTCTTTCCTCTGCCAAACTCTGAGGTAACACAAACTGGACATCTCTGAGGGCACCAGCAATGAAGGAACAGATGGGAAGAGGTATTGTACCTTAAAATTAATGTGCAGGTGATACAAACAAATACTAAAATCTTTTGAAAAATATGGGCCCTATTGAGCCCCACATTGTGGTAACTAAGAGATTGTTGCATTCAGTTGTTGTACTCATTCAATTTCTGTCTGTAATACCATAAAGATTAGGACTCGACTTTGATATCCTCACTCATGTTGAGCAGTAGCTTACTTTGTAAGTGATACCACTGACTTCAGTTGGATTAAACATAAAATCAGAT